GGGTGAACCACTGCACCTCTTTGGGTCTCCACTTTCCCATCTGTCGGATCAGAACAGTACCTGCCTCGCAGGGTTTTGGTGGAATCAAGTGATATAAACTGTAGAGGTCAGTGAGCACCTGGGAGGTTAGAATTGCTGTCTGTCCAGGAGGGGTCAGGCCTGTAGCCAGCACTGAGGTCTCGCTCTGATTCAGCATCTCCCAGCCAGCAAGGGCACCCAGGGAACTGCAGGAAAGACTCTTAGAGGCCATCAGGTCCTGCCTCCTCACTTTACCCAAGGGGAGGCGGAGACCCAGAGAGGGGCATCACTTGCCCGAAGTCACACAACAGGTGTGAATGAATATCTGCAAAGGCGCAGGACTGAAACCTGGTCCTTTCACACCATCACCTCCCTGGTGGGGCTCACCTATAGTCCCAGCTACTTGGGAAGCTGAGTCAGGAGAATCGCTTGAACCTGGGAGGTAGAGGTTTCAGTGAGCCGAGAACAAGCCACTGCACTCCAGCCTGGGTGACAGAGTGAGACTCAATCGCAAAAAAAAAAAAAAAAGAAAAAAAAAAAGAACAAACAAAAAAAAAAAAAAAAAAAAAAAAGGCTTTAATCCCAGCACTTTGGGAGGCCGAGGCAGTTGATCATGAGGTCAGGAGTTCAAGACCAGCCTGGTCAACATGGTGAAACCCCATCTCTACTAAAAATACAAAAATTAGCTGGATGTGGTGGCAGGTACCTGTAATCCCAGCTACTCGAGAGGCTGAGGCAGGAGAATTTCTTGAACCCAGGAGGCATAGGTTGTAGTGAGCTGAGATAGTGCCACTGCACTCCAACCTGGGAGACAGACTGAGACTCCATCTCAAAAAAAAAAAAAAAAAAAAAGAGGCTTCGGCAAGAAAGATTACCCCATCTCACCATTATGCTGCTATCCACAAGCAGCAGAGACATAGCTACCCACCAAAGCGCTGGTTCCTAGCGAGGCAGGGCATAGCCCTTGGGTCTTCCTCAGTGCAGCACTGTTTCCTCCTGAACCTGGACACAGCCTCAGAATCCTTCTCAACACTGCTTCCAGAGCAGGCCCAAGAGATGGAACCCAGCCATTCCCTACTCTTGACACTAGCGGCAGCTGGCTGTGATTCTAAGTACCCTCAGGTGCTAAGGAGGTTTTGCACCTGCTCTTCCCCCACTCCTCCACGCTCTCCTGTCCCAGCCTCAGCCCCCTCAACTGCATCCTGGATGTCAGCCGAGGCACCCACGTTTGCCCAGGAATGTCCTAGCTCAGCAAAGTCAGGCAATCACAGAGGGAAAGTCACAAGAAGGGAGAACTTTCCAGTAACCTCAGGCTTTCCGCTGCCAACCCTGGGCCAGGGGCTGTCAAGGGGTCTGGGTCCTTTGCCTTTGCCATCCTGGCTGAACCCGGGCCTGAGAAATAGCAGCTGATCCGATCCCCTGTTCTGCAGCGGAGGCAACCAAGCCGCTGTTTGGTGCCAGTGGTGGACTGGAACCCAGGGGTCCCCTCTCTTCTATGCCGGCCACCACCACCTCTCCCTGGCGTCCTCCCTCCTTTCCTTGGAAGCCAGCAGAGCTGACTTCCAGGGTCTGCAGGTTCCTGTCGTCTTCTGGAGGCATAATGAGTAAGGTGACACTTGGGGAACTGACAACTGCCTTGTCCAGTCAGCAGCCACAACCCTCCAACGTCCCCCTCCCTGGCCCCACCAGTCCACTACAGAGACACCCTGTAGAAGGCCCACCCACTGGCATGGGCTCCTCTCTGGCTGCTGAGCCATTTTGCTCGCTCTGTGAGGACAGAGGGAAAAAATGTGTTTTCCTGGGTCTTGTCAGCCAGCTCTGCTGGAACCTCCTCCCTGCTGGAAGGGGAGCAAGGCTGCAAGCACCAAGCACTGCAGGGATGCAATGGCCTGGGGTTCCAGCCCAGTTCTGGCACCCACTCATACTTGCTGTGTGGCTTCAGGTACCGCACTCCCTCTCTATGGGCCTCAGTTTTCCCAACATGCCAAACCTCCTCCAAGCCTAAGGTACCTTCCAGCAATGACTATCTCTGAGTTTACAGTTTCAGATACTGGCCCAGAGTTCCAAGACCACCAGTAGAATGGAGGTAGAGAAAGGAAAGCAGTGAAGGCTTCCTGGAGGTGGAGACATGAGACACAACCTACCAGTCTATCAGACTAGCCCTCTTCTCCACCTGCGCAGCCACAGACCACTTCCTCTTTCATCTGGACCGTGCCCACAGCTGCCTGCTCACCAGCCTCTTGTCTTGCCCTCCATCTCCAATCCCTACTATTGATGCTTCCCCAAGAGCTGTCAGAGGAATCAGTACTGACACAAACCCACAAGCCTGCTCATGCTTGGCCCATTTCAAAGCCCTGCAATGCCAGCTTCCCATGAGCCCACACAGTAGGGCCCTCAGGTCTCAGCCACGTTCCTGTCCACTCTCTCCCAGGATCACATGCAAACGAATGAACAGACAGCAAATTCTGCTATCCCTGAATGTTTCCCAAAGGGACAGCTGGGCAGTGTGTGCCTGTGTGCGTGAGGGAGGAAGTCTCCTGAGCCCTGAAGGATCTACTCGCTTTTGGGAGACTGCTTCAAGATTCCTCCAGCCCCAGCCCCGGCTTCCTGTTTCTCTGGGGTTCCCAGGCCTTTTTCTCCATATGTTGTGGAGCTCTTCAAGGACAGGGACCCAGGGCTCATTCATTCAATCAGCAGACATCCAAGAAGCACCTACTGTGTTCCAGGCTGGGCCCTGGACACCCTAAAATGAATCACAGTCCTGCCTTCAAGGGCTTCACAGACAACCACCACTCTATCAGACTCAGCTCACTAGTCACCTCCCCAGGGAAGCCTTTCTTGATTGCCCTGGCTAAGTCAGAGTGCTGTTACGTACTTTCAAACCACAGTCACTTCTCCCTCACATCATCCATCTCAGCTGTGTTTTGCATCTACTTCTGTGGATCTTTTTTCAACTCTATGTCCCCTGCTCAGCTGTACGCTCCCAGAGGGCAGTCTCTGGATCTGGTCTATTCAAATCATCCCCTGCATCTGGTCCAGGACGGGGCCCAATGGCAATGCAAGGCCCAGGGGTGATTGGATGGGAGGTTAAACCTCTCAGTGCTAACTTTCCATCTGGGACTGAGTCAGCCAGCCGCTTCCCCTCATCCCCTGACCCCTGGCCCTACTTTGGAATGTTTCCTGCCCAGCTTTGAGAGTGGGCCTGGCTGGTTCCTGTACTCCTGGCCCAACCCCACTGACTCAAACCCCACCTACTCTTGGGTACCCTCAGCTGTCTGCTGTCGGTTCTGCTTTCTCTTCCACAATTCCCCTGGAAAATACGCTGTCTGCAGAGACTTCCAGAGCTTCCCTCCTACACACCATCCTGCCACCCTGCCTGTTACCTAGTTCCAGTGGCAGAGGGGGACACTGAGGGTCCCCGTTGCTGTAGCAGAGCTCACCAGGGTTCAAAGATCGGAAGTCAAAAGATCATTGGTTCTTCACCCTGGCAAGCTCAACTTTCCCCCTCCCATGATTCTGTAGACCTGTGGGTGGGTGGAGGGGTAAGGTGGGTTAAGACCAAGGAATCTCTACTCCCAGCCCATCCTGCAGGCTGCCACACTAAACAGGTGCTTTCTGCAGGGTTATTGGGTGAGCGGGTAGGTGGCAGGTAGGTCAGGCCCCACCCCTCACTCATTAACCCTTCCTGCAGTCAGAGGCCTGTCCCCACTGCCTGCTGACCCTGCCTGGCCAAGGGTGAGGACTCACCTCTGGTTCAGAGTCTCAGCTAGCTTCCCACGTCCAGCTGTAGGTCAGTCTAGTCTCACTAGTCCCACTTGTGAACTGAAGCTACCAGGAGGGCGAAACCGGCTCTGCCCCATCCTCCGCGACCGAGTAGGTACAGCCTCCAGAACCCGGACTAGCGAGAAAGCCTGGGGTCCTCTCCCTGCCCCCGACCTTTGCAGTCGGTTTTCTGGCCCTTCCTCTTCTCATGGGACTGAGGAGATGGGCAACCCTGGGGAGGAACGAGAGTATGTTGGGTCTTCCCTCCCCAAGGAGCCCCAAAATCTGGGGACAAGAACCTGGGCTCCAACTCACTTTGTTACCAGATCCACTAGGGTGCCAAGCAGAGAGTGGCTCACACCCCTCACTTCTAGCTCAGCTGGGTGAGGTCTTTGATGCCTTGCCCCACCCTGTGGCTGCAGGCGCCGGCTCTGGGCGGGGGACAAACACTGGGGTCACGTGGTGGAGGCCCTGGGAAACTCCGAGGAGCGCGGGGGGCCCGGACAGCCCTGGGTAGTAGGACTCGGCCGGCCGGGGCCAGAATTCCCACACCCAGCGTGAAGAAGCACGCGTCCGTTTCCTTCGCTTGGGTCCTTGTTCCGCGTTTACTCCTGTGGACAGCCCAGGGCACGCCCTCTCCGAGGTACACACTGCTGGTGTACAGGCCCCAGGGAGCGCGCGCGCGGACACGCACACACAAGCACACACGCGCAACACAGCACAACACACGCACACACGCCCCGCGAGGAACACCGCGCACGCACGCACCGGGCAGGACACCCAGGCCGCCCGCCAGGGAACACACGCACGCCCGCCCGCCCTCGGACGTAAACAAACCGCGCGCGCACCGCCCGCGGGCGCCGGGCCAGGGCCTGTTCCCACCGAGTCACGTAGGAGCACGGCGCCCCCGCCACCGCCGGGCGGACGCGGAGATCGCCGGCCTGCGTTGCCCCTTCCTTCCCGGCGGCGCCGCCTCCCCGCCCGCTCCCCGGGAAGGGGCCCCGTCTCCACCCCCACTCCGCCGAGCTGGCCTCGGCCCCGTCTCGGCGTCCCCGGGACGGCCGCTCCCCTCTCCCCGCCCCCAGCCGTCCGATGGGTGCCGGAGCCCCTGGAGCCCCGACGGATCGGGCCCGGGCGCCCACCTCAGGCGCGTCCCGGGGCGCGGAAACCCTGCCGCTTCGGGGTCCCGCGCACCGTCCTCCTGGCCCCGCGTTCCTCACCCGCCTCTGGGCCCGCCTGGCCCGGCGCTCTCGCACGCGCGCGTCTCTCCGCTGTCCCGGCCGCTGTCCCGGCCCGCGCTCTGGTCCGTCTCCCCTCCGTTCTGAGCCGCAGGTCGCTCTGAACCGGGCGCCCGGGAGCGCTGCGCAGAGTTTTGTTGTGGGGCGGGCGGCTCAGGGGGCCGAGGCCGCGCGGAGTTGTAAGGCGAGCTTCCCGGAATTACTCACTCACAGGATTCCTTTCATTCATAAAAACCCAGTCATGCGGTGACGTCACCGCCCCGGCCGCCCTCCGGCCCGGAGCGGCCTCCTGGTCCCTCGGCCCCGCCCCTTCTGACCCCGCCCCCGGAGGCCCCGCCCCCAGGGCAGCCCCGATTCTCTGCCTGGTTCCAGCGCTTGCTGGGTGCGTTCACGTGACACCTCGCGAGAGCCCCGTGGGTGGAGGTGTCATTGGTTCATTTTACAGTCAGGGGTCCTGGCCCTCTTCTTTCGACCTACACCTTCTGCCTTAATGATCTCATCCAGTTCCGTGTCTTTAAATGTCATCTACATGGCTGTAAGCCCCAGGTTTGTATTTCCAGAGCGAACAGCTTCTCAGAGTTCCAGACTCATAGCCAGCAACCCGCTCTGCGTCTCCAGTGGGTGTCAGATGGGAGACGACTGCAAACGACTCGGCCCAAAGCCCGCACCCGATGGTCAGTTAACTCCGCTCCCCTGCCACCCCATCTCAGCTGTTCAAGCCAGAACCTGGGATCCTGGCTCCATCCCTCACACTCACTTCCTCCCCACCTGAGAACTCAAGCTAGCAGTGTTTCTGGGTCTCCTGCATAGGACCACTTCTCACCACCAGGTCCTGCCACCTGGTCCTGGCACCATCAGCTCACCCAGACAGTGGCAGGAGCCTCTGGATAGACAGGCTCCCTACTTTGCCTCCAAAGTCTGTCTTCCTACACCAGCCAATGTTCTTCTCAAAACAAAGCTCAGATTGTTTACACACCTCCTCTGGCCAGTCTCTCCTCATCCACCGCTCTTCAGCCACAGTACCCTTCTTTCTGTCCCCCAAACATACTAAGCCCATTCCTGCCACAGGCCCTTGGCACTGGCTGCCTCTTCTTCTGTTCACTGGCCTGCCTCTTTCTCATCTTTCAGGTCAGCTCAGATGTCACTGCCTCAGAGAGACCTTTCTGATCACCCTGGTTAAAGCAATCTTCACCTCTGAATTTTTTGTTGTCGTTGTTTTGTTTTCTTATTGTTTTTGAGACAGGGTCTCACTCTGTCACCCAGGCTGGAGCGCAGTGGCACAATCTTGGCTCACTTTGGGGGTACATCGCAACCAGGGGAGGAGGGCCACATAAACATGAGGGATGAGTGCTGTGGTGGGAAGCCCTACCCAAAAGAGATGGCTTTGGAAGCCACATGGGGGATAGATGTTGCCATTCATCTCCCCCCCCCTTTCTTTTGCTCATGCTGTTCTCACTGACTGAAATTCCATCGCTCCGGCAGCCTCTCCTGTGAAATTGACATCATGGCACTTATTTCACTGTGGAGGGCACAGGACCTCTCCAAATGGGGAGGCCTCTGTGTGGCACCCTGATCACCAGCAAAGATCCCCACTTTCCTTGATGTGGCAAATTCGATTTCAGAGCCCTTATCTTGCTTTCCTTCCTCCGTGCCTCGGTCCACCAGACACTCCGGCTTCTTTCCCTTCCCTCCCACAGGCTGTGGGGTTTGGTCTGCAAATTGGCCCACTAGTTTCCCAAGTGACCAAAAGTTGAGGCAGCTTTGTCTAACACTCACAAGAATCTCTAAAAACCAATTGCTCACTGCTCTCCATTTCTGTAGCTAAAAGAGCCACCTAGGTTAACCCTTGGGGTACAAAATTTCTCAATTTTAGAAACTGCACAGTGGTGAGTTGTCTATTTTTTCTATCCCCCACCCCCTTTAAAAAAAAAAAAAAAAAAAAAAAAAAACAGGGTCTTTCCCTGTTGCCCAGGCTGGAGTGCAGTGGCACAATTCCAGCTCACCACAGCCTTGAACTTCTGGGCTCAAGTGATCCTCTCACCTCAGCCTCCAGAGTTGCTGGGACTATAAGTGTGCTTCACTGTGCCTGGATGATTTTTCTATTTTTTGCAGAGATCGGGGGGGCGGGTCTCACCCTATTGCCCAGGTTGATCTTGAACTCTTGGCCTCAAGCCTTCCTTCTGCCTTAGCCTCCCCATCTACTCCCTTTTTCATAAGCTTCTCAAGAGCCAGGGCCACGCCTGCAACACTGCAGGTGCTCAACTAGTGAATGAATTCCCATTGGACCTGAAGAACACTCCTGGACGCCATGCTTCCTAGATCCTTTGCTCTCATCCCCAGTCTGCCAGAACAAGGGGTCAGTGCCTTATTATCCACCCTGCAGGGACTGCTTCCCACAGACATAGCTCCCTTTCTGGTCAAGATCAAGGGCCATGGTATAATGTCCTATTTAAAAGTGGGGGCTCTGGCCTGGTGCAGTGGCTCACGCCTGTAATCCCAGCACTTTGGGAGGCTAAGGCGTGTGGAGAGGTCAGGAGTTCGAGACCAGCCTGGCCAACATGGTGAAACTCCATCTCTACTAAAAATACAAAAAATCAGCCAGTGCCTGTAATCCCAGCTACTTGGAAGGCTGAGGCAGGAGAATCGCTTGAACCTGGGAGGCAGAGGTTGCAGTGAGCAGAGATCATGCCCTTGCACTCCAGCCCAGGAGACAGTGTGAGACTCCACCTCAAAAAAAAAAAAAAAAAAGTGGGAGCTCAGGCCGGGCATGGTGGCTCACACCTGTAATTGCAGTACTTTGGGAGACTGAGGCAGGAGGATCGCTTGAGCCCAGGAGCTCGAGACCAGCCTGGGCAATATGGCAAAATCCTGTCTCTATTAAAAAAAGAAGAGGAAGAAAAAGAAAAAAAAAGAAAAGAAAATGACCATCAGGCAGCTACCATAATCATCATGGGTTGCAGCAAGAATCACCAATGAGTATGAAAACTTGATGAGAAAGTATTTACATAGCTTCAAGTTATTTCCCCACAAGACGATAATTAATTATGGAAGGAAACATAATAACTCTCCAGTGGAGAAATTTGGCAGACACAACCTTCACTAAATGATCAAAGTGAATATCACCAGTAAGGGGCAAATTGCCATGGAGTTTGTAGATGAGATAATAGTATTGTATCGATGCCAATTTCCTGACCTCATGCTTGTCCTGTGGTCATAGAAGAGAATATATCTTTGATTTTAGGAAATACACATTGGAGTATTTATTTATTTATTTATTTTGAGATGGAGTCTTGCTCTGTCACCCAGAGTGCAATGGTGAGATCTCGGCTCACTGTAACCTCTGCCTCCCGGGTTCAAGCGATTCTCCTTCCTCAGCCTCCTGAGTAGCTGGGATTATAGACATGTACTACCATGCCTGGCTAATTTTGTGTTTTTAGTAGAGACTGAGTTTCTCCATGTTGGTCAGGCTGGTCTTGAACTCCTGACCTCAGGTGATCTGCCCACCTCCATCTCCTGAAGAGCTGGGATTACAGGTGTGAGTCACTGTGCCCAGCCCACTGGAGTATTTAGAGGTAAGCTTTTGCAATTTACTCTGTTTGCAATTTACTCAGACATGGTTCTGAAAATAATACATGTAGATACATAGCATTATAGGCAGAATTTCATAATGTTAAAATGTATATGTTGAAATCCTAATGCCTAAAAACCTCAGATTGTGACTATATTTGGAGATAAGGTTTTAAAAAGCATAAGTAAATTAAAATAAAGTATTTACAGTAGGCCCTAATCCAATCTGACTGGTGTCCTTATAAGAAGAGAAAATGTGGCCAGGCGTGGTGGCTCACATCTGTAATCCCAGCACTTTGGGACACCAAGGCAGGTGGATCACTTGAGGTCAGGAGTTTGAGACCAACCTGGCCAACATGAGAGATCCTGTCTCTACTAAAAACACAAAATTAGCCAGGCATGGTAGTACATGTCTATAATCCCAGCTACTCAGGAGGCTGAGGCAGGAGAATCGCTTGAACCCGGGAGGCAGAGGTTGCAGTGAGCCGAGATCAAGCCGCTGTACTCCAGCCTGGGCAACAGAGCAAAACTCCGTCTCACTCACACACACACACACACACACACACACACACACACACACACACATATTTGTTTTTTGAAAGTAGTGACTCCCAAGTCATCCTGTGGGGTTCAGATCCTGGCCCCACCCCTCACCAGCTGACCTCAGCTCCCTCCTTCTCTAAACCAGGCTTACTAGTCGTGCCTCCTTTATGGGCTGTGAAACAATGTAATATGTTTGCACTTACAAGCCTCTGGCACAGTGCTGAGTATGTAATAAAAGATTAATAATATCAGGTTAGAGAGAGCAGTCCTCTAGAGCAGGGGTCCCTGAACCGCAGGCCGGTTGGTCTGTGGCCTGTTAGGACGCAGCCACACAACAGGTGAGCAGTGGGTGAGTGACCATCACCGCCTGAGCTCCACCTTCTGTCAGCTCAGCAGTGGCCTTAGATTCTCAAATAGGAGCTCGAACCCTATTGTGAACTGCCCGTATGAGGGATCCAGGCTGCGTGCTCCTTATGAGAATCTAACTACTACCTGATGACCCGAGGTGGAAGAGTTTCTTTTTGTCCTTCTTTTCTTTTTTCGGAGAGGGAGTCTCGCTGTATCCTCCAGGCTGGAGTACAGTGGTGAGATCTTGGCTCACTGCAACCTCCGCTTCTTGGGTTCAAGCAATTCTCATGCCTCAACCTCCCTCAAGTAGCTGGGACTACAGGCGCAGGTCACCATGTCCAGCTAACTTTTGCATTTTTACTAGAACTGGGGTTTCGCCATGTTGACCAGGCTGGTCTTCAATTTCTTACCTCAGGTGATCCACCCTCCTCAGCCTCCCAAAGTGCTGGGATTATAGGCGTCAGCCACCGCGCCCGGCCGCTCAAAAAGTTCATGCCAAAAACCATTTGCCACCCATAGTCCTCACTCTCCGCCCTCACCCTCACCGCCATCTGTGGAAAAGTTGTCCTCTACGAAACAGTCCCTGGTGCCAAAAGCAGAGGAAATGGACAGAGTAATCAGTGCCCCGATGGCCCAGGGAGCACAGCCTGGGTGCCAGATGTGCTCCTGTGTATCAGATCGCCTTCAATCCTCTCCATATCTTAGCACTTAGGTATTATCATGGCCATGTTGCAGACGAGGAGATCGAGACTGTGGCAGGCGAGGAGCCATGCCCGGTATTGCATAACTAGTCCCTGGCAGAGGAGGACTTGAACTCAGGCTGGTCTGACTCGAGCCCTGCACGATCTCCTG